CATGGACATGAGGAACATCCACACAGCAAAGTAGAGCAGACAGGTATCTCCCTTAGATAGAGTGGTAGCTTTCTTCTTGTAGACTCTAAAGTTGGGAAAATACAGTAGAAGTACATAAGGACAATAAATAAACAACCCTTTTTAAAAAGTAAATGAGACGCTGTTTAAGATGCAAATAAAAATGTAAGCAGAATCCATTTTTTTGCAATTTACTGTTTTATTCACTGCAGAAGAGAGGAAACAAAGTCTTAAAAAGCGATATGTCATGAAAACATGATGTCTAAAAATGTCTGTATGGGGGTTAGAGTTAGAGGGACTCTTCTTCTCTAGGGTTCTCTTTCTACCTTTTAATACCTTGTTACTGATATCTTAATTCAGTTAGTTGCCACGTGGTTTATATACATTTCTTTTTAGTCTTACTTTCTGAAAATTATAACTGTTCTTGCTTATGTCCCATTAATGACAACGGGTATTTTAGACCCTCACAATACCCATGGACATGCTCATGAGACCCATGGTCATCAAACAACACCCTCACATGGACATGGACACGGACATGAGGAGCATCCACACAGCAGAGCAGAGCAGACAGGTATCTCCCTTAGATGGAGTAGCTTTGCTCTGGTAGCCTTTAGTGATGCAAATACTAAATGCAATAGATCAAATTAAGCCTCTCAGAAGCATGTAAGAACAGAAAATAGTTCTGTTAAAGTTCATCTGTAAGTTTACTGACAGCAGTTATTTCAGACCCTCATAATCCTCATGGACATGCTCATGAGACTCATGGTCATCAAACAACACCCTCACATGGACACGGACATGAGGAGCATCCACACGGAAATGTTGGGAAAACAGGTATATGTTTTATATGTATCCATAGAGATAGAAGGTATCCTCTGATATTATTTTCATGGCAGTGGTTATTTCAGACCCTCATCATTCTCACGGACATGGCCATGTGACACATGGCCACAAACCAGCAACCTCTGCTGGACATATGGACAAAGAGCATAACCAAGGTACCAAACAGTAGCAGCATTTTTGAAAGAATAACTAATATTCTTAATGGTGCAGTGCATAAACTTTCCATTTAACAAACTAATGAGCTAGTTTTACTTGTGATAGTCCTTCATCAAACTGAAGACCATTCACATGGGGGTCATGGCCACAAAAACCCAACCTCATCTGGACATGGGGAAAGAAAAGGTATCAAATGCTAGCGGGTTCATTTCAATAGATTGGCTCTCTATAAATGCCCATCGTGTATATTTTCCTCATGAGAGGCTCTGAGCGTTGGTTTTGTTTTTACTCGTGGTGTGCTAGTCCTGCATAAGTCTGAAGAGCCCATACACGGCAGTCACGGCCACAAACCCATAACCCCGTCTGAGCACAGTGGGAGCGCTGGCAGGAAAGGTAGCTGTTATATTATCATGGCGATCTTCTCACAAAATAGACGACTGTGCGGATTGTGTCAGCAGTGATTGTGGTATTTCAGCCTCCCATCATTCTGGGGGACACGCGCACGAGAGTCATGGACACAGAACAGCGGTCCCATCTGGGCATCGGGAGGAGCAGGGCCACAGACACAGAACAGCTGCAAACAGAGGTATTTTGTTTTTATGCAGTAGATTTACAGTCGCTATAAACAGCACATTACTCGTGACGCAGTAAAAGCACAGTAGATAAACTCTGACTTGTGTTAAGCTTGGCAGCTCAGAGGGAAAAGGGAAAAGTATCTAAATTCATCTCTACAGCCAAATGATCGGCTGTCAGTCAGCATGAGCCATCAGGCTAAATCAAAATCTGGAATCAACAGCCGTGTCATGTCTTTTTATTTTCTAAGACGTTTAGAGATGCTGTAAGAAGAGCACTATATAAAACTCAAAGTGGGAAAAATGGGTTGACTAGAAGGGAAAGAAATGTGAAAATGCAGATGCTCTTGAAATAAACTGTTTATCTGGGTTAAATATCATGTGAACAGTGGTGTTTTTTTCAAATTCTAAAGACTCTTAAGCCTTGAGTGATCAATAAATGATAGATCTTGCGTGACTTTCGTGGCGTATTTTCCTAAAATATGTAGATCTCTCAGTTTCTCACAGATCTGTGGATATTGTTTACTTGTCAGTGGTGTTTGTGCTACCTAGTTTGGTACAAAAAAAAACAACCCTGCAGCATCAATACAAATTGATTTTTTGAGTTGTTGCTCCTTTGTAGAGCACCATGTCGTTGAAGAGCCTGGGAGGGAAAGAGGTGGTCATGGGGCCACAAAACATGCTGCTGGGAAAGAGGAAGAAGACCATGAGAAAGGAAGGAAGAGAGGTAGAATTTATTGGACGAGGAAATTGCAGCGATTCATAATTGGTTGCACAAATTTGTCAATACGTCTGTATTTTGTTTTATGAAAAAAAAAAACATTCCCAAATATCTCTCATGGTTAATATTCGATAATTAGGCAAACATTTTATTAATCGATGGTAAGTATCCTTTGCCCCCTCTGGGTTTATTGATATTCAGGCTTTTTCTGTGCAACCATTTAAGAACTACTGCATTGGTTAGTATGTTTGACAGAAAAAAAGCTAGTCACTACTTTTTGGTAGTCTAGTGTAGTATCCTTACCGCCTCATCCTTTACAGCCGTGTGTAACACCAACTGACCTATAGGCCGCTCTGGCTTCAGCTGTGTGAATGTTGAACGCTGTTGCAGATTTTAGCCAAATGACCGATGCAGAGGTCTAACTTAAAGACTCATTCATCCCTCAAGGCCACCTGAAACTTTTGATCTCCGGAGAGCCCCAGGCTAAACAGTTGCTTGGGGTCATATATCATAATTTCAGAGGTAAGAGACCAACACTAACAGCACGCGGTCCTATTTATGAACTTTGAAAGGTGTAATTCAAGTGGAAACTCTGTGGAAAAATTCCTTCTGTTCTCAGTTTCATGCCTGTCATTTTGTTTCCCCTTTTTGTGTCTGTCGCCCTCACGCTTGTGTTTGCTCTCTGTGCATCATCCAGGTAGGTCTCTGTATTTCCAAATCACAGAAACACAATCTCACATCTGCGCTGTTATGTGTGTTTATGTTTGCTATAGAAAGAGATGTCTTTTAAGAATTAAAACCCACAGTCGTCAACCGAGGCAGTTCCACCTCCCAATATACCCCTTTACTGTTAACTATATTACAACTGATAAATACCAATAAAGAAGCATCTTGACTGAACATTAATTTGTGGAACAATGTCCCATTGCCTCTCCAGTCTACGAAGTAATTGTGCATTTATATTTAATTAGGCACCTCTCCCCCACTGCTAGCATGCTTCCCTCAGTGCTGAGGGAGGCACTTTACGGTGCTTCTCTGGCTGACTTCCTTTAAACCAGCTCATTAATATTTTAGCTGGCATCATCAACCAAACAATAATAAAATAATAATGTGATGGCTGATTAAACAGCTAAGCTCCGACTTTTTAATGTGCATTTAAATGTGTATTTGCATAAACATGCCTGGTAAACGCCTCTTTAGAGGACAGTGATGCCTTACAGCATACTATTGCGGCCTACTTCTAAAGCTCAATAAAACCTTAATTAGGAACCAGCCTCAGCCAAGATAATCATGGTGAGGCTTTGGAGAAATGCCCTTCCACCGCCCAATGCACCCCTCAGAACACTACAGATCTCGGTATAGCTAATATCACAATTTCGTCTATCCCTCTGTGGAGGAATTATAAGGAGCTGTTTTAGTTTGAGGGTGCACAATTTGGAACACGTCTCAATTCGCCATGCATGTGAAATAAAGTCTGTAATCATAGCTTCTCGCAATGATTAAGGAATTATAAAAGAGAAAATTAAATTAGGGCTACCTACCATGAGGCTAAAAAAACTAAAACAACTGTAAGAATCAAAGAGAACAGGATTGGGGAAAAACAAAAAAGGGATGCAGCAGTATGTCTACCCTCCTTTCTATGGGTGGTGCTTAACTGCCTGTAACTGTGTCTCAGACTAATATACATAACCACTCACCTTATCAAAAGAAGATGAGATGTTTATTTAATGAGAAATACAGCTAAGGGGGTGAGATGTGGGATAACTATCCAGGCTCAGGACAGAATGTGTTTTATCTACGCTGGTGGACAACAGGTTCAATATCAAAAGCCAGGAAGAGAAGACTCATCATGTGATATCTGGAATTTCTGGGCAAATGAATCATCATTACATCTGAATTATAAAGTCTAACACGCCTTCCATTTCTTTTCCTTTACACATTTCATGTGATGGAAAAAACGATCCCCTGTGGGATTGCAAAACATGTATCGGAATTCTCCCCTGGAGGTTGATAGTAGATGGCAACAATCCAGTCCAATCTCGTCCAGTAAAGTGACAGCGTTTTATGGCTGAGGTCACCTCAGATATAAGTGTTATTGTAGGGATATGTGATGTGATCTTATGTGATCATCCACCTGTATTTGTTACTGCGTGCTGGTGGGCGGGCAGTCAGGGTCAGAGGTATGTCATGGCTCCACGTGCAATTTGAAAAACAATAAAAACAAACCCATTATCGCTAACCTCAAACCCTCTTGATTATGATTCCGCTCATCTGGTGCCACAGTTAAACTCCCAGACACACTCACCGTCGCTGTACTCACACCTCCATGTGAACACACAAACAAGTGCACCCACAGGACGGAGGAATTCCCATCAGTAATCAGCGCTGTGCGCAGTAGAGCAGACTCAGCAAACCTGAGTGTAGTAATGGGGAGGGAGTGGTTTGTCTTTATTGAACCAATAAAGAGTAATAGAGGTGCCTCATAAAATACAAACTGACTCATTCATTCTTTAAACAGACGTCTGAAGCTAAAACTTTCAGACGTACGTCGATGCTGATCCTCTCCTGTATCCTATTTTCATCCATTAATCCAATTCGGCATATCCTGCCTGTTTGTCATCATTCGCATCAACTTGCATTTCTATATTGTGAGCATTCAACTGGAAACTGTCCCCTCTCTCTTTCAGATTGCGAGTGCTACGGGCACTCCAACCGCTGCAGCTACATCGACTACCTGAACATCGTCACATGCGTCAGCTGCAAGCACAACACCAGAGGCCAGAACTGCCAGCACTGCAGACTGGGATACTTCCGCAACGCCTCTGCCGAACTGGATGACGAGAACGTCTGCATTGGTCAGTCTGCCGGGAGACAGTGAGAGCATGTGGGGAAATGTGGGGTGTGTGTGCATCGGTGTAGTAGAAGAGTGTGTATCTGCTCCCAAAAAAAAGGAGGTTGGAATGTCCTCGTCTATTCCAACTAGCAATAGCTTCAACACTGTAGAAAAAGATAAAGAAACAAAAAGCTCAACGTGCATTCAAATGCGTTTTATCCTTCTATGAGCTTAATTTAGCTCAAATCTTAAAGATAAACCAGTCTTTTACATATCTAAATATAAGTTTTCACAGAAAACTGCTTTAATACAGTGTCATACATGCAACAGTGTAACTGTATATACACATTTATATATAGAACTATACAAAAGGGTTGACTGTATAATGTTGGAGTTCATTCATTCCTCTTTGAGTGAGGCCATAAGTGCTTAAGCTGCGATTCAGTCCTCTGTGTCAATACATCAGTCTGAGCAGAAGATGAGTCATCAACATTTTTTCAGTTCCTCGTGTTAATATACAGACTATAAGATACCATAAAATGTGACCACAGACCCTTTTGTCTTTTTTTGGTCATTTTTGTGACAACGTACTGGTTTACTAGTGACATAAAATGACAAGTAGACACTGAAGAATTGAATTTCTTGTTCATGGGCACTTTATAATGCTATATTACTTTTATGTATTTTCAAATTTGCTATCTTGGTTGCAACCATTTTTCAGGTAACAATAACCTTTTATCCGTCTGGTGATAGAAACTGCCCTTTTAAGGCTATTGACTTGCTAATATGAGTACAGTTCTAATACAGTATAAATTAAACGTAACTTTTAACACTTAAAACTGAAATCAACACCTTTTTTTTTAAATTACATGATTTTAACTCTACTGAAATAAACCAAAACAAAGAAAAACACAAAAGTCATACTTTCACTACTTTTTAACCATATATCTTGTTTACATCTTAATGTACATTCTGAATGTTAGTGACCTCTCATCAGGATCTAATGCTTATTAAAGAGCAAATGTTTGCATTGCTGTGGCGCTGAAATCTGGTGTTGATCTGAGTCCATCTGTGGGTGGACTGCAGGGGGTTGGAGGGTAAACTCGCTGTGGTCAGGGCACACACAGGGCCAGCACTTGGAGTCAGCACAAATAAGGCCCCATTAGCTCATCTGCCAGCACGCTGGCACACAAAGTGTGGCTAAAGAAACCAGTTCACACAGCATTTCTAGAGCAGGAAACACATCTTACATAGCTTGACGTTTTCAACACATATTTACTCACAGTGGGTCACATTCAATCCTAATATTAATGTGCATGACCCACAAACAGGAGTACCGACTGCATTGCTGTGATTTTAATCTGGGGCTCAGCTCAGCTCTGCTCTTTTTTTCTTATGCATATTTTATCACAAGATTAATTGCAATTTGCTACTATGATCTTTGCCTTGTGCAAAAGACCAACAATTATCTAAAACAAGTCATGAGAGACATATGAGTTCTTTATTAATTGACAAATAAGCAGCCCTGCAATTTTATGTCAAACCATATCTGTTAAGAAGTGAATGTTTCTGAAAGAACATTTGTTTGTATCTATACACCATTTTAATTCAAATGGGCCACAGAAACACTACAAACTATTAGTCTGCTGGTAGTTTTTTTATCAACACATTTTAACATCCTGTAAGTTATTGTCCAATTGTAGCAAAACAAGTATATGTCCCTCAAATGCTTAAAGATACCACATCATTCCTTGTACACACCTCTAAAGATAGGACCTGAGATGGAGGAGCAATTGCTTTGCAAAAATTAAATTACTGAATCAACAAAAGCATAAAATCCCCAAAAGGAGTTTTTGCATGAGAATTTTTCAAGGTGAAATATGGGAAGGCAAACATTGAAATAATTACTGCTGTAAAATGCCCAGCATTTTATGCGTTCAATGGACTTTAATTCACATGTGCAGCCCTGTTTATGGGCAATATCTTAAAATATCTAAAAGGTATTCAATCACAGCGGATAGTAATCCCTGCATACAATCTTCAAAAGAAAAATTACACTTTTTATTTTCAAATCTGCACACTGAAAGAACCAAATAAAGCTATTTTTCAGCCGAAAAATCAAAGTGTGCAGTGAAGTACATCCCTGCGTCCAGCTCTGTTTTTCTTGAGTCATGCTGTTACAGCTTTAGTAGACAATTAACAAGGAGCCAGTGGTTTCTTTTGTGCATCCATTAAATGCAGGTCGGCCGTCATGAGTAAATTCTCATTCACAACTCTCTGTCCCCAGAATGTAACTGCAACCAGATGGGCTCTGTACATGACCGATGTAACGGCACAGGCTTCTGCCAGTGTAAAGATGGAGCCACGGGGGCCAAATGTGACGACTGCCTGCCAGGCTACTACTGGAAACAAGGCTGTTACCGTAAGTAAAGGGAGACCTATCCTCAGCGGGTTCAAGGTTCTTGGTCTAAAAGACTCCGAACGGAAGAAATGCTGCAGCCCTCGCAGGACCTTTTCAAGTGCTCCGTCCACTTAACTTGCCCTGCTCACCATGTTGTCTTTACTCACAGGGGAATAGATCATGTAGCTCATTAGCAGCATCAGCTCCTCTTTTAATTGATGACCCTGTCACACCTTAACCCCATTACGGAGATTCTCCTTCCTTTGCCATCTAGCATCTAGTTAGGGGCCTCAATCGCAAATAGTACCCACAGTACACTCTCAAGCATCCACAGACACACACACACACACACACACACACTTAAAGCAGACATGGATGCATTTTGACTATAGGTTAAATAATTACAATAGAGGACACAATGTAATAAATAGCTGTACGGTTTGTTTTAGGCGAGACATCAAACATTGCAACGCAGGCAATTGTTTCTTGTCTCTTGAAGAAAAAAGTCGTTCCATGTAATTATTTCTCTCTACGAAAGACTGATCCTCCATTTCCTCTGAGGACATATTTAGCTCACGAATCTCATGCAGCCCAACTTCCTCGGTGCTGTTTCTAGTGCTCCTTTAAAGCAGTTTAATGGCGCAGTTATAGCCTAATATCACAAGTTTACAGCTTTTTTTTCTTGCTGGGTTTGGTGCAACAATTTTGATTTGACCCTGAAAAAGAGCAGGCTAAAGAATAGCAGACAGAAAGAACAGCTGCAGAGCCAGAAAAGGTATTTTCATCCCAGAGGAAAAAGACAGAGCCTCTTACCTTTCTCTTGTCATTAATGCTTTGTTCCTTCAACCCCAAATTTTTTCTGCCCTTGCTGTATGTGGTTCTTTTTTTTTCAAACATTGCCTCTCCACATTTTCTATTTCCGTCGCGTGTGTTTCTTTCATTTTTGTGCTCTTTACTTCCTCGCTGTTCTTTTACCACCTGTCATTCTGTCACTTTGCAACATTTTCCTGATTTCCAATTCCTCTCTTCCACCTCTGAAAATCCATTTTGTCCACTACTTCTCCTCTCTGCTTCTTTTTTTCCCCCTCTCTCTCGTCTTTATCTCTGCTCACAGTGAACGTTTGCGACGAGGAGATGCTCCTGTGTCAGAACGGGGGGACCTGCTACCAGAACCAAAAGTGCGTCTGTCCTCCGGAGTTCAAGGGGATCCTGTGCCAACAGTCCCGCTGCGAGGCGGGCAAGGACTGCAACGGCGCCGCGTGGCCGCACATCTCCGCGGCGACCCTGCTGCTGTGCACTCTGTCAAACTACTTGCTGGCCACGTTATCGCCCCACTGAGCCACAAAGGAACCCCCCTTAAAAAAAAAAACCCGAGGAGCGTGTGTATAAAAGTGTGTACGTGAAGGGGGAATGGCGACCCGGAGTGAGGAGGGGCCAAACGAGTCATGGACCACAGCAAATGCACATGACAGCACTCTTATAGGCACGCTGACAGAACACTTCCCAGTCCCATTCTTCTCGCAGAGACACATGCGCACACCTCCAGGACTGTTTAGACACAGAGTGTGTGCTCAGGTGTGAGAAAGACAAGGGGGGGGGGGAAAGGACCTCAAAGAGATGCAAAAGGGGAAAATAATCAACCAACCACTGTTCCCTTTATTCCTCAGCTGGAGCAATGTGCATCAAACCAAAAAGTATAAAGAGAACACTTAAATCACCACTGTTTCACTTCAAAGGGAATGGCTGTCGTAACCACGAGGATGTTTTCTTTTCTTTTTTAATTTTTCTTCTCGGTTGAATAAAGGATCTCACCTCCGTTAGGCTGACGGACAGTGTGGTGGTCAGGCTGGTCAGGGTGAGACTGGCCTGACTGGTCGGGAGGTGCTTGTTTGATTCTGCTGCTGAGGCCTACATAGTATGTTAACCAGGTTTCATTTAAAAAAAAGATGAGACTTCATTTTGCATTTATTCTATTTCTGCTGCATTTTTTTTTCAAATTATACTTTTAGTCATTGTATCTAAATGTGCCCACTAGCAGTCGCTGAGATTATACATATTATATAATACCCGAGGCGTTATGGATTTTAAAAGATTAGTCACTATAATGGTTGTTATAGGGGTGAGTGATTGTTGCCACACTTAACGAGATTTAATTATCACAGTATTCAGGAATCAGAGTTTAACAACTTTAAACTAATCAGAAGTCTAAAGAAGAGATAAAGATATAAACCACTTATCAATATTCTGTGACATTATTTGAATATTTTTTGTAGAAATTATTTTTGTTTGAAGTTAAAATGAATTATAAAGAAATGACATTTACAACTATTCCAAATGCTCATTTTATTACACTGAGTGTAAAGCTTCAATTAAATGACTGTTATTTGCCTTCTTGCTTGTTGTGTCTTCTTTCCCCCCCCCCATTCTCTCCACAGCTACGTGCTTCCAGTCATATTTCCAAAAGGATAAAAAGCTCAAAATCAGTACAAATCTGGTGTTCTAACGCCATTATTATTGACTTTGGACACAATGTTGCTTGCTACAAACAAATATTCTGTTAAAAATCAAAGTCAAACAGAGCTGCTTTGGTGTCAAAATGAGGTTTTCACTAAGAAAAGGTTAAAAAAGCTTTTATGTCTGGAGATGCAGCACACATAATAAAGTAAGAAATGCGACTGAAAAATCCTTAGCTGCATGATGAAACTTGAAAGAGGCAACGGAAAATCTTAAGTCTGAATATCTCTTATGCCACCCAGCACAAGATAAAATAATTTATGTAAGAAGGACATCTGGTTTGCATATCCAACACGTTTCCTAGGTTTAGCCAAAGGGGACCACCGTAGAGGCGAATAATCCAGATAAAGAGCATTCTGGTATGTTATTACTACTTTGTGAAGTGTATAACATCCCACCCATCTAATATCCAGTAACGTGTGCAAAGGGGATGCCATGACAATTGGTTGGGCAATGCCCCAGAGAAATAAAACCTATCTGGATAATCATCACCCATCATCCTTTTGTAAATTATTTCACAGATTTGTGTAGAAACAGGCAATCCAAGTTTGTTTCTCAGCAAAAGTACAACCTGATTCCATGGAGAGCAATTCAGAACTAAGTCAGCCAAGACACACCGAGGAGAAAGAGACACTAAGGCCTTATCACATCAGATTACAGTCTAAATCAAACATGAAACACAAACAAAGCCTGTGAGAAAAAGCAGGATGGGCATTCCTGTATTACTCCACTCTCACCCACTCAGTGGTACTTGTATTAGCTACTCCGTGTCTGACACGCAGACAATGTCCAATCCTTATGTCTCTTATTATCTAATAATGTGTAATTTTGTGTTTTAATAACTGGATGTAAGCACAACAACATCTGGTCTCTTTGCTATGTCGGTGCACTCCTTGTGTAGAGCTATTCCTTTGAGAAAACACAAAATGAGGAAATTAGATCAGATTCAACTTCTTGGCCATCCCGTGTGCAGGTACAGAGCGATGAAAGCAGTTCAGTATCTAACCACAAGCAGTAAGTGTGTGCAGCATAAACAGAGTGGTATATAAGAGGTATGGTACAGGCTGTTTTTATAGCATATTGATAGTATTTACAGAGGAAAACATTTGTACAGGTGAGGCCATATACAGGCGACTGAGCAAAATAACCACAAAGTTTGACAGAGATGCTAAGAACACTTACACAAATAGACTAAACACAGGAACTATAGCATAATTTAAAATGAAGGAAATAGGCGGAAGATGAATTAGCGATATAAACACAGACTGAGTGAGGATTAAACGTGGGCAATGGGATGCTGAGGGGTTAACTGGTGTGTGGGCGGCGGAGTTCAGGAGAAAAAGCTGTTCCTCAGTCTGCTGGTCCTTGTCCAGAGGGTTTTGAAAGGGAAAAGTCTGTGTGGCCAGTGGCAGGAGTTTGGAGGATATTCATTGAATAAGCCTGATGGAAATACAATACTCCCGAGGTTGTTTTTTTTCTTCCTTTGTGTTTTCCTTGTGTCTTGCAGTGTCCTTTTCTAGAACACACCCACGTGTGAAATGCCAGAGTGCAGTTTTTCAAACACGTTGGCATTTGTCTCAAAAATGGCTGCCGCTGTGCTGACAGTAACCCTCCATATGCCTGTGCTCCAGGCAAAGAAAAAATGAAATCTAAGTCTTTTCACGCGGCTGTCGGGCAGAGTGTGGCGGAGAAGATGACATCAGAAGTTTGGGACGGCTGCCCTCTCTGTGATACTCCTGCACGCAGAGCAGCGCCGAGATGTAAGACCTGATGTCTGTGCAGCACTTCACACAACGTGCTTTTTTTTTTCTTTTTATTTCACAGAATATTCTTTCATAAACCCACCGTCTAAACCAAACAATATGTTTTTTTTTCATACATACTTTCATGCAGTTAGTGTGTCATAACAAAAAAAGTATTTCTGCCTTTTCTTTTGGTAAAAACTTCAAGTTAGGTTTGTTTTGGGAATAAATCCCCTCTTGGTTAATCTACATAAACATTTCCACACTGCATGGTAACCTCCTGGAGGCACTGTGGTGTGGTGGTTAGCACCGTTGCTTCACAACAAGAGGGTTCCCGATTCAAGTCCCCAGGGGAATTGGGGACTCGGGACAGTAAAGTTTGCATGTTCTCTCCTCCCACCATCCCACCATTGTTGTATGGAACAAATATGATGCATACATGTGCTTTTCATGGGATATTACTGAACTGATCACACATTTGATGCTCTAATATTCTTACTTTGGATTCAAGTTTCCAGCTTTCCACAGTGGCTGCTATTTTTCCACGCTTCTCTAAATTCTCTTTTTTACCAATTAAATGTGCTATTCTGGGATCATTCATTCATCATACACAGTTATAAAGGAGTATCAAAGGAAGTGTGTGAACCTTAAAATTATGTGCAACTGATTTGTGCTAATGTACGCTGTTGCTCATAATGCATATTCATAGGCCAAAACAGCCCTGCAGGGCCCATGGTTTCCTGCCCGGCAACTACCTCATTAGAACTACATTTTGCTTTATCCCATCACACTGCACAACACTAACACTTTTTTTCTATAAATCAGGTTAAATCTTCAAATAACGACTTGTACAAAATGCAGTATAAATTCACTTTTGCCAAGATGCAGTCTATACAGTGGCAAGTGGAGAACAGAGATGAGAAGATGCAAGCACCAAACAAAAATAAGCGTGACAAAAGTTTAGAACTTCAACTTTAAAAGCCAAGAGGAATAGAGAAAGAAATTTAAAGCAAATGTGATTTAATGTGGATTTTACAATAAAGGATTCTATTTTTCTTAGTTTTTCATCATTCTGACAGCATTTTTGTATCCATTTTCAAATATTTACCAGAGATTGAGATGCAAGTTGGTGTGATTTTCAGTACCTCACAGCTTGAACCTCATTGAGTCTCACCAGTCCAGTTTCAGAGCAATTATTGGTAAAAATGTCATGTGAAAAACGTTTTTCCTTCCCCAGTTTATGATACATAGCACCCTATGAATAACATGCTAATTATGTTGCACATGTATTCATTTCACACATCTGACGTCTCAATGGTTTCCACAGCAACGGGACTCCACCTCGCCCAGCCTCTCTTGCACTTTGTTGCCTTGGAATGAATATCCCAGCTGAGCTGCTGCTTGATGCCATTGGGCATAAAATATTGCTGTGCCTTAAAACAATGAAATAAAGAAATAGACTATTACCTTGAAAATATGAAAAGTTAAAATCAGTTGCAACATTCAGTCAAAGACTTGCACGGAGGGGCCCTGGATAGAAGTTGGTTCATCTTAAAGTGCATTCTTCTTGTTTTGCCTTTCTGCTCTCTGCAAATTCCTATAAACATAAACACACACACATATATTTCTATCCAAAACAAAACCATATAAAGGGGTCGGCCATTCCCACTGGAACGTGACAAGCTGTTAAAGCTTATGGCTAATAAAGCACCAGTTGTGTTGACAGATGACAAATGATGAGTGAGAAATTCTTGAGAGCCTGGAAACGTTTCCCTCATCGTCTATATGGACAGTTTCAGAAAATACAACTGCACAAAAACTTGGCAGTAAATTAAACTTGACTGAATCAAAAGACACAAAGATAGATAAAGAGGGCCAATCCTGCTCACCTTATAAAGAGAAGTCCCAGGTCATTTCTGTATCGGAGACAATGTGGAAAGTCAAATCAAATCAAGGTTCATTTGTCACATACAGGATCATACATGGAATAACTAGCATATATATATATATACTAACACCACACCAAGCATAAAAAATGTACACACATTAAATCTATGTGTATATATCCATACTGTGTTCAGT